TTCTAGGCCAGGGGACCCAGCAGAGTGCAGTCAGGGTGTTCTGGGGCTCACCAGGGAGATGCCCACAAATCAGAGACGCATCTGGGTCTGGAGCCCAGAAGGAAGATTCCAATTCAGCCTGGGAAAAAAACTGTTACCAAGAGCCTCACTCTCCTGTCTGTACATCCGCCTCCCAGGAGAGGGTGTGGCAGGCCTGAGAGCCAGTATCCAGGAAAGTGGGTATAAGATTATCACCCATATGCTGGTTGGCAGAAAATGTAAGTTTCTGGAAATTGGACAGACCTTTGACACATGATAACTTGGGCCGGGCCTTTTGGATGGGGACAGAACACAGACCTGCTGTCTTCTCACGGGTCTTTAGTCAGGACGATTCCCCGGCAAGCCTGCCCCATGAGGTGCCCCATCACTGAATGTATCCCCACTCACCTTCCCTGCAGGGCAGCCACGCCCAGGGAACCCCGGGGGTGAGGAGGGGTCCAGGAACCTCCAGGTTGCTGGAGAAGCTCTTGTTTTCCTCTGGAATGACTTGCCTGCCCCCTAGCGGATTTCTGAAAGTCTCTGGGACTTGTCAGGGAATATGACAATTTGGTCCAAGCCTGTGCACGTCCCAGTGGGGAGATGAGCCTCGAGGAGCAGGAACTTGTTTAAGGATGTCCAGATCAGAGGCAGAACAAGAGGTGTCATGGCCAGCCCTCCAGAAGGAGCTCAGGGCATTCCACAGCCCCAGCGAACTCGGCAACACCACTCAGCCAGTCGGTCTCCTCTTGGAGTTTTATCAGTGCTGGGCAGGATGGCCTGGGGCACAGGAGCCGGAGAGGAAGGAAGGGTTTTAGGCAAAGCTTTCTCGAGGAGGCACAGAGGAGGAGATAGGTTTGGAGAGGAAAGGAGTTGGCCAGAGGGGTGGGAAATGGGGGGCATAAAAGAGCATTCAGGTAGGTGCAGGGGCCAGTAGTGACAGTGTCCATGGCGGCATGAGGGGCATGGTGAGGAGAGATGGAGCATCAAGGGAAACCCCAGCTGACACTTGGCCTGTGTCTGGTGTGTGAGATCCCAACTAAGCACTAAATCAACCAAGCCCAGATGGGGAAGTCAGCAGAAGAGACACAAGGCAGGTGACCTCGGGAGCAGGCATTGTAGGAGGGCGATCGCTCATTAGAAACCTTTGGACTACTTAGGTCCTTAATTTGTTCATCCATCAATTCAGCCTCTTAGTACACACCTCAAGCTGGGCACTGGGCTAAAGGCATGATCTAGATACAGTTCCAGCTGTCAGGTGAGGACCAGGCATGGCAAGTACTAATTCTACACACAGGAGGTTTGGGAAGGGTTTCAGGGGGAGGAGGCATTTTAGGCGAAGGATGTGTATGTGTTTGTCAGGTGCTGAAAAAAGATAAGATCATCTAGGTGGGCTAAACAGCAATAGCAAAGGTGTGGCATCATGAGGGGTTTGCTGAAGAGTAAGGAGTGTGTCCACCGCCAAAGAATTGGGAGTGTAGGGAAAGAGGAGGTGGGCAGAGCCTGTTGGGCCTTGAATGCCAGGCTAAAGTGGCCTTTTTTAAGGAGTCCATCCTAAACTGTGCCCATCTAAAGAACCTGGAACCAAACAATTCCATATTACATAGCCCTGCAAGAACCTTCTGGAAATTCCTGACCCCATCTGTCATAGTGAGAGCACAATCCCCTAGAAAAGCCAGGAATATCTCATTGCTGGAAATCAACCCCGAGGGACAGGAGAATAGCCCCAAGTTGCTGGGGGGACGTTAGGGGAACTTCCTGGGCACTGACTCATCATGAAAGTCATGACTTGGGGCTCTACCTCTGGGGTCCCACCCGGCGCATGTACAGAAGCTCATGCAAATGTTGGGCTGGCTTCTTGCAAGAGCTGCCAGCCCAGCTTCAGCCCCATTCTGAGGACCTCCTCAGCCTCACCAGGAAGGTGTATCCTCACCCCTGTTCCACAGGACAGAGAGCTGCGTCCTCCCTGAGGCTACTACTCCCCTGGGGGCCCTCCAGGGATCATGGCTGTTTCTCTGGGCTCTTGTAGCACCACCTTCTGACCAGAAAACAGACAGGCTGGCACACACAAGGCCCTTTACCACTCCAAGTCTCTTTTCTCATCTATAAAGTGAGCAAATGACTCCTGTCTTAGTGGGTGTGGGTGGTTGAGATGATGCGTGTGCTAGTTCCCAGCATAGGCCCAGCCCAGAGCAGGAAGCAGGAGAATGGGGAATAAAGGATATCCAAAGCCATTCAGCTCAGAGGAAACTTGGCCAGCCTTGGGTTGGGGCATGGTGCAGGCACCAGGTGGGCACTGGCTTTCCTCCTTTGTCTCTGGCTGATAAAGGAAGGTTGGGGAGAGGTAAGGACCAGGTGTGGTGGGCCTAGTTAAATGCAGTGTTTCAGCTTTGGAACCAGAGTTCCCCTTTGGAACCCCAAGTCTGGCTGGGTTCGAGCAGGAGCCTCTGAGCTCAGAGCTGACTCAACCCCTCTCAGTGTGGACAACTCAGAGGATGGACAGAGAGGCAGGAGCTTCTTCTGTGTGCTGTCATTCTGGAGGGCCCAAGAGCAAGAAGACCTGTGGCTGGATCCAGGCACTCCCTGACAAACGTACACACACACAAGCTTGGACACACATTACACATCCAGATACACATTCTATGCTCAGCTACAAGCTGATGTGCCACTGCCCCATACTTTGGTGCCCCCAAAGACATACTTGGACATATAATGTGCACAGTTAAAGCTGTGTACATGCAGATACACCAAGCCAACATCGCACAAGTGCAGATGTGTACACACAGACACACACGAACACACAAATGCGTGTTTACACAAATAGCACACACACACATATCCACAGACAAGCACATACATGCAGACACAGACACAGTGACTGCATGTCCTTAGGCACAGGCTCAGGTTCACTATCACTCGCCTACTAAGGGCCCTCTGAACTCTGATACACATATCAATGTACACGAGGTCATGCGGGTCTGTTCACACACACATGCACCCTAAGTCACGTCTGTACCACGCTCCTCTGCTGCCAGATCTAACAGCGCCCTGTGAGGCAGGCAGGGCAGGGACCTGGTCTCTGTCTTGCGGTGAGGAACAGAAGGCCTCAGGACACCACTGCCCAGGTCACACATCTGATGGCGGGATCTTAGCTCAGGCTCCTGTGACAGAATATCACAGATTGGAGGGCTTACACGATGGACATATATTTCTCACATTTTGGAGATTAGTGGTCCCAGATCAGGACACCAGCAGCGTAGGTTCTGGTGAGGCCACTCTTCCTGCTTCACAGAGGGTCAGCTTCTGGCTGTGACCTCTCACGGTGGCGGGAACTAGCTGGCTTCTCTGCATGAGGACAGGAAAGATACTCACAGGAGCCCACCTTCATGACTTAATCACCTCCAAAGGTCCCACTTCCTAATACTGTCACATTGAGATTGAGGTTTCAATGTAGCATATCAGAGGACACAAGCCTCCAGTCCCTAGCCAAAGGAAAGCTGAATCCCGGTATGAATTCTGCATCTGCCCACCATGCCAGGGTGCCATTTGCCCACACGTGTGCCCGTGGATGCTCATGGAGACACCCAGATATGTGCGGAGGGGCCTCATTGGCTGCATAGACCAAATACTCATTTCACAGGTGAAGAAACTGAGACCCCAAGAACAGGTGTAAAGGGGGCCACCCAGAGGGTCTGTGGAGGAATGAGGGCCACACTTCTGCCCCCATCCCCCTCCTTGGCTGGGCCACACACAGAGATGTGATCCCACGCACATTCACAGGCACCCATGTTCAGATCCTCCCTACGGAAACACACCTGCGGGGCCAAGTGCGTCTCCACAGTCCTCCGGTTTCATTCTCATGACAGTATGTCAGGTAAGAATGACTGGCCCCATTTTGCATTTGAGGTAATTGAGGCATAAAAAGATTAGGCCCAAAGTTGTGCAGTTTGGGACGGTCAGTGGCATCTCCCACACCTCATCCACATCCTCCACACGCCTCTCCTCTCTCACACATGCACACACACAAGCATCTGGGCCTCTGTGGGCACAGCAGCCTCCAGTTACCACATTTTCCCAAGGACTCCAGTTCAAAGTGTGAGCGCCAGCTACCCTTCCCCAAGGGGTCTTTTGAAGCAGGATGAGTTTGTTTTGGGCTTAACCTGCCCCCTGGCCCCAGCCCTCTCCCCTCAGCTGGGGAAATGAATTCCACATGTGCCTGATCTTGCCTGCTCTGAAATCACCCGCAGGGACTGAGTGAGTACTCTTTGATGCTGGAAGCCAATTTAAGGAGTTGGCTGTGGTGTTTTTGTTTTTTGGTAATACAGGAGTCTTATTTTCTTGAGAACCAAGGAATTCTCACTTTCATCTCCTCCAGCCCCGAGACCTGGACTCCCAATACAGTGCTCACAGACACCCGAAAGCCTGGCCTGCCTCGGAAGGAGAAACTGGGAAGGAGGCGGCCTGGCCTGAGCACTTCCTGCTGGCCAAGCTATGTTAGGAACTCTTTAAATCCTCCCAATGACAAAACATCTCTGAGAAGAGATGTGATGCAAGTAGGCGGCCCAGCTGAGCCTAGTGCCCTGGGCTGCCCGGCTTCAGTTCTTTGTCCCAGTCCTCCTCCTGCCCGGGGCAGCGGTGCCACCTGAGAAGGTGATCTCCTCTCTCCAGGCCTTGGGCACCTCTGCTGTGTGATGAGGAATAATGAGCTCCCATAATAATAAGCGCTCTGCATCAAAATGACTTGTTAAGAACAAAGTGCTACACGACTATTTCTATTTTTATGATTTTTGTGTCAAGAGAAAAGTTTAGTCCTAGGATTCATACAGAAATGCATCAATTAATATCACTCCAGGGTACTGATTAATGAGCACCAGTTGGTCACCAGGGAGCTCCGCAAGGAATTCTTTAAAGGAAGTAGATTAGGGAGGGGTGTAGACGTGTCCATGCATAAGGCTGTCCGGCACCTGCCCCATCTGTTCCTCTCCTTAAGATGGGGCCCAAGCCTTCCCTGAGCTCTGGGTCCCAGCCGTGTCCTGGCGGGCTTTGGCAAAGGCTGCCTTGATTTCTTGGTTTATGAGGTCCTGCCATGGCTCTCTAGGGGAAAAGGAGAGACAAGAATCACATGAAGCAGCCACTCAGAACAGGAGTCTCAGACCCTGAAATCCCCACACTGCTGAGGAGTAGCTCCTTCTGCTTCCTTTGTTTCCTGCTCCCTGGGGCAGCCCTGCCACCCTCCCACCTTTGCACTTGAAAGAACTGAGGCTCAGAGAGGTGGAGTGTATTTTCAAGGCTAGACAGTTGCTGACACAAATCCAATGGCCTCTGGGAGATGGGGCCCAGCCAAGCTCTGTGCCTCACACAGGACATGAACTTGGGAGGCTATGAGGCCATGGGGAGAGGTGCTCTGTGACTCTCAGGGTTTTTATACAAATCCAGGGGACCCTGAACTCCCACCTGCACATACTTTCATTTCCTCATTTACTGCCCACAGGTGCCAGGAGCAGCGTGGAGCCAGCTCAGGGGAAGGAAGAAAGGCTCCGAGTGGTGGCCAGGGCCTCACAGCAACCTGGTGGAGGACTCTTTTGTGCCTGTTTGGCAGGGTCAGAGGGAACAGAATGGACTACTCTGTGGAGTGTATCCATGACAAGTGACAAGAAGTGCTTCTGTGAGCACTGCTAATTGCTGGGGGAAGGGAGTTTTGTCCCCTTCCCAGTCTCCAAACAGCCCCAAGTAGAAAGATAAATAATTTCTGATGATATGGAAAATATATAATGTGAGGACAAAAGCATCTTTAGAAAACTTGGCTTTAAAAAAATAAAACCCAGGTTATAACATTCGAGTTAGGCAAAAATTAGCAACTGCTTTATAGATGCAGCTCTAAGTTCCCATCCAGCTGATACCCTAAGCCCCTCCTGCAGAGATCTGTGTCTGTGTCTCTGTGACCTCATCTCCAGTCGAGTGGAGGGGCACATGGTGGTGTTTCCATGCCCATGACAAGGGCAGTGTGCATCTACCCTGTGAGCTCATGTGCAGGCTTTGGATACAGTCTCCCCAGCCTGCCTGGGGGTCTGCAAGGCTCCCAAGTTGGGTGGTGCTCACTGCAACTCTCTGCTCTGCTCCCTCCCTGAGCCAAGAAGATGAAAACATTTCTGGCACTTTCTAAAGTTTCAGGAGTGGAAAAGTCATCAGCTGAGGGAGTTTGTGATGACAGTTGGCTGCCAGGCCTGCCAGTTCCCAGTCCCAGGATAGGGTGAGCCAGGTGCTTCCCAGGAGCACCTTCAGGAACAGAGCTGGACAGAGGACATGACAGTGGGGTGGCTGGTGCATAGGATCCTGAAGAGGTCACACACTCTTCTTGCTGGACACCCATGGACAGATGTACAGGTGCATCGGCTGTCCAGGATCTCATGAGACTTGCATGGGCAGGGAACGTTCCATCAACAGGTGAACAAGGAATGTCAGTAGTAACAAGCACTGCGGAGACTGCCACGCTGGCAGCGTTTGAACTGAGACTGGCACAATAGGACGGGGCAGGGCATTCGAGGGCAGAGCAAGGCCCCTGGGTGGGAACAGCTCATGTGCTTTATGAGATAAGTGAGGAGGCCCATAAACCAGTGAGAAGCAGTGGGAGATGGCATGAGAGACCAGGCCGAGGGGTAGGTACTGGCTGGAGCATCAGGGCCTCAGAGACTCAGGAAAGAATTTCAGCTTTAGCTCAGGGTGATAGGATGGCCCAGAGGGAACTTTCATACTGATTTATGCTTTGAAGAGATAACTGTGAGAATGGATGGAAAGGCCTGAGTGGGTGAGGGGAAATTGGCTGGGAGCCCCTGCAGCAGGGTCTTTAGGAGGCAGGGACTAGGGTGGAGAAGCCAGCCAGAGGAGGGGCGTTTGATGCAGGCAGAGCACATGTGTGCAGGATCTGAGCCCCTGGGTGGCTGCAGAGACTGCCTGGAGGTTTCCAAAGCTTCAGACTTGCTGGCAGATTAGAGACAAGGTGGGTGTTATGAGGAGACAAGGACCAGATCAGGCATTCTGGCCAAGGCCAGTAAGACTGGCCAGAGAAAGGAACTGGAGGAGGACTGGTTTCCAGGGCAGGTGGCCCTTTAGGGTCTGCAATGCTGTGTGAGAGCCAGGAGGACCAGTTTAGAGCACAGACAGGGTTAGTCTAGGCAGTTAGGAACATCCCAGGCAGGGGAGGATGAAAGCCTAGTACTCAGAGGTACAAAGGAGGGGAGGGGAGGGGAGGCAGGGAGCCCCAGGAGGCTGAGCTAGGAGGAGGCTGGGAAGGGCGAGTTTCTAGGAGGGCAGAAGGGGAAGTGTTGCTGGGTAGGCAGGCTGAGAACCCAAACTGCTCACAGAGCCAATGACATTGGAGATGTCATGGGTGACCTTCAGAAGAGCCTCCCAGCTCGGCGGGGGTGGTGGCGTCAGACTATGGGGCTGGGGACAGAGTGGGAGGTGAGGAAGTAAGATTCATGTCAGCAGACCCGAGAAGTTGAGGAGGGCTTGTTCTTCAGGACAGCAGGAGGTGAGTAGAGAGAGGCTGGAGGAGGGGACCTCCATGTAAGGGACAGGGTGAAAGGGCCATAGTGCCTTCTACTGGGGGTGGGCTGGGCCAGGCTGGGTGACTAGGACATAGAGAAGAGAACAGGACTTCAACAGAGGAGTCAAAGGGACCTCCAGGAACCAAGCCCAGAGGTCACAACCCTAGGCCAAGCCCTGTCTTCCTACTAGGCCACCTGCCCCTGCAGGCTGTCCATGCAATGACACTGCAGAGGGGAAGGGCCTGGGGCTGTGGAGGCCTTTCTGTGAGCAGGAACTGGTTCTGCACCTGGGAGGCTGGTGTGTCCTGTGAGAAGGCTGTGTTGGTGTGTTCTCTCATCCCGGGTGTGTGTCTGCCTGCTTTTCTACTCACCACCACCCCCCCACCCCCCCGAACCCTGCTCTATGTGGGAGGCTTCAGAGATGACCAGGGTAAACCCCTCAGGCCCACTCTGCCTCAGGCCCCCTAGCTGTGGTGACCAGACCCTGTCTCCATCCGTCCTGTCTGTCGGCTGGATGCAAGCCTGGATTGCTTCAAGCCTAGTCTTTTCCCAGGATCCAATATGTGTCCCACACATTTTTTGTCTTTGAGAGACGGAAAGGGGAGGGCTTGGGTTGGGGGCCTGGAAGTGCTGGGCAGAGCCAGTTGGAAGTTCTGATGAAGGAAAAACTCTGGGCGGGGAGATAAGCCTGAATTCCGGCCCCATTTCTGATGTGGTCACGCTGGAGCACCCCGGCAGGCCCTGCCCCGACCCCGGGCACAGCCTCCCCACTGGTGGAATGAGCTAGTTGGCCTCTGTGGTCCCTGGGACCTTCTTGGCAATCAACAACACCTGGGTGCCTTGCCCTCCAGCCCTCTGTAGATGGCCCACAGGTAGGATAGAAGAGAGTGAGGGACAGCAAGTTCAAGTGAAATGTTATTGCTCCTTTCTCCTAACCCGTCATACGGGCCTGAGTGACAGAAGGGGTTCTAAAGAACAGGGCAGAGGAAAGGGCCAAACCATCAGGCAGGCACAGGCTCTCTGAGACTCTGCTTCACATGGCCCCTAAAATGTGGACGCCCTTTTGATCTAAAAACTCTTCATCTATGGAAATAGTCTGAATAACAACAGATGTGTTACCTATAGTCAGCTCAGCACAGAGAGATTCCACACACTCAGCTATAAGAGATGGGCGTTGCCAATCCCGGCATGCCCACGGGTTGTGATCCTGCTGCGGTCACTACGAGTATGTTTATAAAGTACTCCCAACAATACTCGAAGGGGCTCAGGACAGTGAGCTGAGAACACAGATCAGGACGGGAGATCACCTAGGCGGCATGACCTCACCCACACCAGAAGCATCCAAAGCAGGCTGGCAGGAGCTACGCTGAGCGCTAACTACCAGTGGCTGTCTCCCAGGAGCGAAAAGATGCTAACTATTGAACATTTGAAGAATTCTGTATTTCTCAAGTTTTCTGCACCAGGCAGGTTAAATAATCAGAAAAATAAAAAATATCCAGTTTAAAAGAAAAGAGTTCAAGCTTTCTGTGAAATCCTTCTTACCCAGGTTTGATGTCCGGAGGTGTGGGGAGGAGTTTGGGGAAGCCTGCCTTTCCCACCAGCCAGTAGGTCTCCTCTATGCCCTTCCCCTGAGAGAGAGAGGAAAGGTGATGGCAAGGCCCCTCCTCGCCAAAACCTTCTCAAACTGAAGGGCAAGGGCGAGTGTGGGGTTCCAACAGCTCCATGGAGAGCAGCCTGGAGCCCCGAGGTCCAAGTCCTGCCCATGCCCCTTCCTAGCTAAGTGACTTTGGCCAATGCACTTTACTTCTCTGTGCTTCAGCTTCTTCAGTACCTCTTAAAGTTGTTAGAAGGATTACATAAGTTAAATTTATCTATTAAAGACATGAAAAAGAAATCATGAACTCTATGACTGCAGGTCTAGAATGTCAAGATTCCAGGATTCCATCATCTGTGGTTCTCTCCAACGTCACTCCTGAAGGGGCTGGCGGGCTTCCTGGGACGGGAGTGCAGCTGCCTGAAGGTTAGGAGTGAGGGGCACAAGGGGCTCTGGGGTCAGGAATGGCTGGTCTGGAGGCTCCATGTCCCACCTGAGCCAAGGGTCTATGGGATGGACATAGCCCGTTGGAGCCCCCAGGTCTGAAGAACCTGAGGCTGGTGTGCTTCCCTCCACACAGCTCTCTGCAGCCCTTTCTGCCATCAGAGTCCTCTATTCCTCAGGACATCCAGTGCCCACCCCCTGCAAACAAGACATGCCTGTCTTGACTTATTCCAGCTCACTGTCCCTAACCCCAGCTGTCAGTGCAAAGGATTCCACATATGATGATCTCCATGGGCTGTCTGGCCCTCTCTGTGCTGCACCCTCTTGCTCTAACATTCCACAGTGTAATGAAGGGAGTCCTAGGAAGTACCCAGTTTCTGCAGCCCAATCAGCCTTGGGCCTGTAAACTAGGCTTCTCCGGTCTCCCTACTAGACCTGGGTCTAGCTGAGGAACTGGAGGAATAAGAGGAAGTGAGACAGGAGGAAAATATCATTCACTGGGATATTGTACCATTGCCTCTGTCAGGTGTCAGCATGGAAAGGAACGCAGCAGTTGTAGACCTTTCTCTGCCTTTGAGGTGCTCGTGGAAAAGTACAACCCAACACCACACAGTAACAGCAGAGGGCTGGCTGTGGGACTGGTGAACACACAGAGAAGCATGACAGTCACTGTTGGAGGGGTATTCCTGGTTAGGACAGGCTTCAATAAGAGGTGATATCTGAACTAGGGTTCTGAGGGATGAATAGGAGTCCCACAGTGCTATGAAGAAGGCACAAGCTTTGGAGCTATGTAACTTTGACTCTCTAATTAAATTTCTTTAACTATAAAATGGGGACAATGATACCCATCGTGTCATTGATATGTGTTGAGCACCAAGGAGCTACACAGGTAGGTCATCAATAAAAGTGCCCTTCCTGTCCTTTCCTTTCACAAGAAGCAAAATGGTTCCCAGGTAGAAATGTTTCCTTAGGCTTGAGGGCACACAGAGGACACGTGTGAGGTGATCAGCTACATCTTCCCAGCAGCCACATCAGTCAGAGGAGGCTTCTTCCTGCTGCCCACAGAAACCAGACCCTTGGGCACTTTTCCCACTAGGACCAGGAAGTTCTCTTACCTTCAGCTCAGTCTGACCTCTGATGTCAATTTTGTAGCCTTTATCAAGGCTGAGCAGTGTCTGGACAGTGCTTCGGCTGGTATGAATTCTGTATGCTAAGAAGAAAGGTTGTAATCAAGTCACCACCTGGGGCACCACACGCCGTATCTGGTAAAATCACCAAGGGCCTGCAACAGCTAGAGTTCCAACACACAATTATGATTTGTGCTGTACCCTTCTTCTGGTCCCTTGTCCCTCTGGATAGTTGGCCACTAAAAGAGACCTCAAGGAAAGCAGATTACATTGATTGAGTGTTAAGAGGAACTCAAGATGAAGCCAGAACCCCTAGAAACATAATTTCTACTTATAGGGGAATATATGAAGGCTGAATCCGAGAAGATAAGAGCAGAACCTTATTTTTCTTTTAAGAGCAGAACTCTCCAATAGGACTGCCATGCCCGGTCATGCAGGATGCGCACTGAACAACATTAAGGCAGCACACAACTTATATAACCAGAAGCAAAGGCTGTCCACATTTTCAGTTGCACTAACAAAACCATCGGAGTAGCTCTTGCTGCCCGCAAGGGCCAAAAATGTTGGAGATGTATACAATGGTGTTGTTGGGGCTGCCCCAGCATGGTAGAAGTTGGCATGTGGCCAAGAAAAAAACAAAACCTTAAAAGGTCTCTTCCTTGTACAATGGGGAAACTGAGGCCTACAGGAAGAACATTTTGCTCAAGCATACTAAACAGGATAGTGGCAGAGCTAGGGATAGGACTCAGGTTTCCTGTGTCTTGAGTCATTATTTTCTCAACTAATTCCCTCATGAGATCATCACAACAACTCCATGGAAAATTGAAAGAACTAACAACATACATCATCTCTTTCCAGTTGCTTTCCTGACAACTAGGGTATATTGCCCTGAGGTGGCAATTTGGTTACTAAGCACTATTTCAAACAAGCAGGCCGCTCAGGTTATTGAGATAGAGGCCTCCCTCCCCCAGGCAGAACAGAAGTATGAAATACTCACGCAGCCCTGTGGACTCCATCCGGGATGCAGTGTTGACAGTATCTCCAAAGAGGCAATACCGAGGCATCGTGAGACCCACGACCCCAGCTACACAGGGCCCTGAAATGCAAATGTGCCCGGTGAGCCTCAACAGGTCCCAGGCCACAGAGAGGTCTCCCTCCCCCCACTGCACATCCTGGTGAGAATAATGCTATCTGGGGTCTCCAACAACATCTAGAGAGGAGATGATGTCTGGGCCAGACTCTGCTGGGGATGAGGGTGGGGGGTGGATAAATCAGAGCCAGTCCCTGCTCTTGGGCAGCTCCCAGCCTGGTGGGGAAAGATGTGTAAACTTTGAGCAAGGCTGTGATGAGGGAAGCATTGGATGTGCTGGCCCAGAAAACGGACCCCTAGCCCACCCCAGGGCTCTTCCTGGAGGAGGTGATACATGGGCTGTGTCTTGAAGGATGAGATAATGAATGGGCAGGGAACGGCATGTGCAAAGGTACTCAGGCAGAGTGCCCTTGGGCTGAGGGAAGCTGCAAGAAGCTGAATATGGATGGAGGGCCACGCAGGGAGTGGCAGGAAATGAGGCTGGAAAGGTTATTAGCAAGGCACTTAGGAGCAATGGGGGGAGTGAGTGTGGACTTTATCCTGCAGGTGAGGGCAGCCATGGAGAAAGGAACAGGTGGGGCCATGGGATGGGCATATGATAGACTCCGAGGCCTCCCTGAGCCATCTCGGCAAACATTAAGTTGTTTGCATGGCCACAAGGTTCCTGTCCTGCCCCTTCCATCAGACTATCAGCTTCTCAGCTGACAGATCATCAGACTATCAGCTTCTCAACATGGACTTAACTGACCTTGACAGATGCGGAGACAAAAAGAAAAGATGTGCGAATCTTGATTCTTTGTTTCTAGAATCTCGATTCTTTGATTTACAACATTTTAGTACCTTAAAATAACATAAGGAAAAAAGAAGCAAACTGTTTTGATCACGGAGTTTTAGAATCTCAGAAATCCAGCAGCACACCACTGGGGGTGTCCCAGCTGGTGCCCCAGGGACGGTTGGGGGCCTGATCAGACCCATACCTGAGTGCAGGCCAGCCCTGATATGAATGGGGACGTCAGGCGCGTGTCTCATCCGGAAGTCGCCCACAGAGCTAAGGATATCCAGGGCCATATTGGCGATCTCGGCTGCATGCTGGTTCCCATTGCGCCGAGGCAGCCCCGATGCCACCATGTAGGCATCCCCGATGGTCTCCACCTAGAAGTCACAGTCTTCATATTCCAGCCTAAGAACGTACCCTTCCTGCCTTGTCCCACATGCTGCCACACAAGGCTGCCTCTCAAAAGCCCAAACTCACCCTGAGGGTCTCCTGCCAGGCCTTTAGCAATGATCAGATCTGTATATTTCAGATCACTTTTGTATTCCAAGGAACCATGTTTTTTTTTTTTTTTTCTCAGACCCCAGGTTCTGAGCTCTAAGCAGCAGACCTGTGTACCCCATCTGCACAAGGTCACAGTGGCAGATCAAGGAGTCATCTGGAAGTGTGCATAGATTTTCCAAACCCTGCCAGTTTTTCAAGGTGTCTTGGAAAGAATGCCAGTTTGGGAATCAGATGTAGGTTCAAACACTGGCTCTGCCATTTACCTCGGCAGACATTTCACCTGTACACTTTCCTCTTATATGGGATGAATGTTAGAGGTGAAGTATTTAAAGAACCAAGCATATCAATGCCAAATAGAGGCTGCTGTCTCCCCACACACACACCTCATGGTTTTGGAGAAGATAGGCTCCCTGAATCTTCTAATTGGAAGGGACTTAAATGTTCACCCACCCTGTCTTCCCAGCTGCAGTGCTGTTCTCGCCTGCTCACATGCCTTGATGGGAAGGTTTTTTCTTCTTGAGGCAACCACTTCTTTCTTTAGGCAACTCTGATTTTCAAAAGTTGAGTTGAGTTGAAACTTGCCTCTCACCTGCTGGTTCCAGCTCTACCTCCTGAACTTGATCCACATACCTTTCCTAGGCACCTTTCCCTGTTCCTAAGGCCCTATTCTAGGTTCTGGGGACACAGATGTGAATGGAGCAATGACTGGGTCCTGCCTTAAGGAGGCAGCTCCAGAGACCTGATGCTCTCTGGCCCCACCACCAGCCTGCCTGCCAGGTGTGCAGCTGTGATTCAAGGGCAGTGCGCCCACTCTGGGGACCCAGCTCTGCCTTACAGGGGTCCCCCACAGTCCAGACTGGGGCAAAGTGAGTAGAAAGCCTTGTGGCAGCCAACACATCTGGACACTATTCTCTGAGCTGATGAAGTTGTAACCTGCCTGACGCTTTTCCGGAAGGGAGAGTGTAACACAGTCAGTGATCACTCTTTCAACCCCACAGACAGAAAGATGACAAGGCACAGGCTTGGAGCTCAGACTCAAAGACGCCTGTCGTGGTGGGCTCTCAGCTTCAAGTCAGGGTTGTGGCTGCTTTCACAGACAGGAGAACACAGCCAGAGGAGAGGTGAGAGCAAAGGTTTCCACACAAACAAATGCAGATGTGAATACTAACTCCACCACTGACTTGCCCAGTGACCTGGGCCGAGTCACTTATCCTCTGTGAGCCTGTGTACTCATGTGCACAGTAGGGATAATAATCTATATCCTTGAGGAGCACTGAAAGGGTTAAATGAACTACTCTGTGAAAATCCCTAGGTCCAGTTAGCCCCTGTACATGCTGCCCTAATGCCGGTGCCTCGCCCCTTCTGTGCTTACAGGGGGAGGTCTTAGCACCTGCCTGCGGTGAATGAATGAATTCTCTCACTTTCTCTCACTTTCTTAATCTGCAGAACAATCCTAAAACATAAGCACTTTCTTCCTTGTTACAAACAGGGAACTCGAGGCTCAGGGAGGTGATGTCCCCAGGGCTGCGCAGCAGTATGGCCAGGGCAAGGCTCACACCCAGGCTGAGCGGTTGGGGTGAGTCCTCTTCTCCTTCAGAGCTCACGGGGGCTCTGCTCTGGAGTTATGTCCATAAAAATGCTCACTCAGCGAGCGAGTGCTGGGAGGGAATCACACACCCCCCGAGGAACCAGGAAACTATTGCTTGGCTGCCTTCCAACACAAACCAGATAAAAGTACTGTAACCAGATCCTGTTGGGGATGGAGGGGAAACCGAGGCAGACGGCGTGAGTGATGAGAAATGCGCTTGCACATCACGAGGAAGGGGCCTCCTGCTTCCCCACATCTGGAGGAGTGGGGGGCCTTGTTTTATTTCATCTCACTGTCAGAAAGATGCAGACCTCTTGGCCTGAGTTCAGAGCAGATCAGGAGGCATGATTCAGAGCTGGGAGGGACACGTGTGAGAAAAGATTAGCAGAGAAAGAAGAGACAAGGTTGGGGTGACTCAGGGCAGATCAAAGCTGGGGGGTTCAGCGAGAAGAGATGAGAAATCTTTTCCTGGTGCCTATGGGGCCGGGATGGCTCTGGAGACAAGAGGGAAGCTTAGACAATGCCTTGGAAGTACAGGGCAGGGTGGGGGCGTGGGTGCTGAGTGGGGACCTGGGCGGGGGGCAGCCACACCCTGGGATGTTGGTGGTTTGGGTCTCAGCTGGTCAGTGTTAGTCAGTGTGGGGCAGCTCACAGAGCACCTATGGTGGATGTGGCAGGTTCCTGTCCTGGCTCTGTTGCCTACCAGCTGGGTGACCTTAGGCAGGTCACTTCCCTCTCTGGGCTTCGGTGTCTTCCTCTCTCAATCAACATATGTTTCCTGATGACACTGCAGGCACAGGGGAGCGGTGATTTATGGTGAATCCATAAAGTGCTACGTGGGAGGAGTGGGGAGAGCATCAAAGAGGAGCTCCTAAGCCTGTCTGGGAGGGTGAGAAGCACAGCCTGAGTCAGAAAGTGACAGAGGAGAGCCAGGTGCAGAGGAGGGACAGGGGTGTTCCAGGAGGAGATAGCAGCACGTGTAAGGGCTAGAGAGAGCAGCCTGTGTGCGAGGAATCTGCAGGTCTGCAGTTGGGGAGGCAGGTGGGGCCAGCTCCTGGAGGGCCACTGTGAAGCTGCGGCTTTATCCTAAGGATGTCCACATTGTGGAGATGGGGAGCCTCCCTGAAGAGGGGCTTAGGATCAGAATACTAATCCGGGCTCAGAGCCTGTAGCTCAATGGCTAGGGGGCTGGCCACATACACGGGAGCTGGTGGGTTCAAACCCAGCTTGGGCCTGCCAAACAACAATGACAATTACAAAAAATATATATATAGCCAGGCATTGTGGTATGCACCTGTAGTCCCAGCTACTTGGGAGGCTGAGGCAAGAGAATTGCTTAAGCCCAAGAGTCTGAGGTTGCTGTGAGCAGTGACACCACAGCACTCTACTGAGGGTGACATAGTGAGACTGTCTCAAAAATAAAAGAATACTGATCCAATGCAGTGTAACGTCTATTACAGAGTGAGTACTCAATATGTTTTGATGATTATTGTTAGGATACTATAAATAATGCTATTGGCAGATTGCCTGGCCCCGCGAAGAGTTCATGCTGTCCTTGGAAACTTCCTTCCTGAGCATCCTTTCCAACCTGTCCCTAGCCCCCAACACCCCACCTCCCATCCCCAGCCTCCAGTGGAGCCTGGGTATGGCTGCTTCCCGGGACCTCCCCTCCCCACCTTCTCCACCACATTTGAAGCCACCCCCAGGTCCCAGCTCCTGGGTGAGAATAGGAACAGGGGCAGGGTGGGGAAGGTCCCTGCACCAGGGCAGAGCTGAGGAATAGAGGGTAGGGGACAACTCCCCTCACAATCTCATAGTTGACATACCCTTCTACTTGGTAGGTAGGACCTCCCACCTTCTGTGAACCTGCCATGACTGTGATCATTAGTCCTACCCACTGTCAAGGAAAAAGAGGCCCAGAGAGGAGTAGCCATTAGCCCAAAGCCACAGAGAAGCTGATAGCCAGGCTGGGACTCAAATTCAAGACTGAGAGGTGTATAGGGAGGGTTTGGGTGGCTCTGCTGAGGCCCCTGATGCCCTCTCCCCTCTCCTTGCTGACCTACTTCACGCCCAGCATCCCAGCCCATTCAGTGTTCCCACAATCACCAGGCCCTCTCAAGCCTCAGGTTTTAGCACATTATTCTCCCATTGCCTGCCAGAGTGGCCATGCCCAGAGTGGACAATCCTGAGAAGATGGCACCTCTTCTAGGAAGCCTTCCTTGCTCTACACCTCTACCCTAGCTGGGTTGGGATCCTCTCTTCCTTCTTTTCCTCCCCACATCATCACTTTCACTGCTGGTCATCATCTTGTACAAACATGCCTGAGAGCCCCTTGAGGGTAGAGATAGGAGCGGAGTCCCCTGCCCATGTCCAGCACAAGGGTGGATACAGGAGAGCCTCCCAATATAAACATTAAAGGGATGAGTAGATGGACAATGAGCTAAGGAACACTGTGGTTAGTTAAATGTGAAAGTTAATTGTGGTTAGTTAAATGTGTCCCACGTTTTCCACCCCTCTCTATCCACCCCACTGCAATGTGGCTCTGAAACTTCTCCCATCAAAAAGTAGAGTTTTTTTCCTCACCCCTTGAATTTGGGCTGGTCTTTTGCTTTGACTAATAAAATACAATGAAATTGTACAGAAATTGCAATAAAAATGCAGAAATTGCAATGTGCCTGATTCCAGGTTACAGCTGGAGAGGTTTTGTGTACTCTCTGTCAGAACCCTGCCACACCATGGAAGCAATCCCACACTAGCCTGCTGAATGATGACAGACTCCATTGACCAGTACTGAGTTCTCCCACCTAAGCCTCCAGAAATGTAAGAGAACCCAGTTAAGATCAGCAGAGCTGCCTACCTTACCCCCATCTGACCGCAGATGAGTGGGTCCAGATGAACCTTCCAGCTGACCCATAAGCTTGTGAGCAATAATAAATGCTTATCATTTTATACTACTAAGTTAGGGAGGTTATTTGTTACACAGCAGTAGCTAACTGATACAAACACATAAATAAGTGAATGGAAGTAAGTGTGTAAGACAAACATAGTAGTGAAGTTGGTGAGGAATGCCTACCTCCTAGCGTTCTTACCTTATACACATCATGGTTTCTTAAAACAGCATCAAACAGTGTGTAGAGATCATTGAGCAAACCCACCACCTCAATGGGTTCACTTAGGGCTGAGATGGTAGTGAAACCCACAATATCACTGAAGTATATGGTAACATGATCAAAATACTCTGGCTCCACAGTCGTCCCCATTTTCAGAGCTTCAGCCACAGATCTGAAGGGATGGGAGGGGCCAGAGTCACAAGATAGAAGGATCTCTTTTTTATAGTTTGGGGGGTAGGGAGGGATATTTGGAAGGAAATATCCCTCTGGGCATCCAGGGATCTGGGTCAGACCTGCTGATGTGCTAGCTGCCCTGTAGTGAATTCATTACTTTCTCTGTAGTGAGATGAGGATGCTGTGCTCTACCCTCTTCTCCCAAGGGTGAGAGAGAAGAAATCCAATACTCATCTGCCCAGCCCAGTCCCTCACATAGTGAAGGCTGTATGAAAACGTGTTGGATAAATAAACATGACTGAACTGAGTTAATCCATGGAACCCAGATTTGCTGAGCACCCACTATGTTCCTGGTCCCCTCGGAGCCGAGGCTGGAGGCACACTCGAGTCGTCGGGGCCACTCACCGAGGGAGCATCTGAGAGAGCAGTCTTTCTGTCTTCTGTCTCTCCAGCTCCAGCTCCTCAGTCCGCTCTTGGATCAAGTCCTCCAGGTTCTGGGAATACTTTTCCAGCATCCGCAGCATGGAGTCAGCAACACTGATCTTCTTGCCTTGGTTGATGCTTTTGAACTGAAGATGGAAGAACTGGGTGTTCATCCTTGGTCTGCTACCCACCGCTTAGAGCTCACTGCTCTGAGTGCACATTTCTGGCTTGTGAAGTGGCCAGAAATCACTGGCAGTGTTGCAGCTAAAGATGGGGAAGGACTTTTCGAAAGACATGTATGGGCCTCTGTCTGCCTTGTAGCCTCTCGCTCCCTCATGACCCTTCCTGATGCTCCCTCTGGCTCACTGAACCTCTCCTTGGCAACTTTCCACTGTGGCATGGAAGGCAGGAAGGGGAGGCAGGAAGCTGTTGCCTGGGGCCTGATGGGTTGGTCCCAGGGTGCCAACAGCTGTCTGGGTCAGCCACACATTCCAGCTGCCATGCAGACTCTCACAGGTTTGCTTTGTCCCTCCCACTGCAGTCCCCAAAGCAGGCCTGGGGCATCCTAGGGCCCCTCACATCATCCCTTCACTGACTGAGGAAGTAGCACTGTCGCCAGGGCCACAAATGGCCTCTCTTCTCAGGTGCCAAGAGGCCCGGTGCAGGGTGGGGTTCCCAGTGCAGCTCTGCAGTTGGACAAAGCTGGGTTTGGACTACAGCCCCTCCTTTCACCATTGCACTTTCACACCTATGCTGGGCAGGTGCCCTCCCCTCACCATGCCTCCTTTCTCTCCTGCAGAGGAGTGTCCTGAGGATCAAATGAAGTGGCAATCAGTACAGGGCTTGGTGCTCAGAAAGGCCTCTGGACAAATGTCCCAGGAGCCCATGACCCTGAGAAAGCTCTCCTTAGGGGGTGGATCTTGGCGCGACAGTGCTGGCTGGCCCCTTATCACGTGGTGTTCCCAGGCCACAGGGACAGCATGGGCAAAGCAAGCTGAACGAATAGGCCATTTCTCATGAGCACCTGTTCCTCTGGGAGCACTCACCCGGGTGTGGATCTGGTCCAGGCTCGGTCTGTCCTCTGGAGCCTCCTCCCAGCACTGCTTCATCAGCTGGATGCACTCGGGTGGCCCCTGGTCAGGGGACACCAGTGGCCGGCACAAGGGAGGGAAAGATGCCACCTTCCTGATGATTTCTGCAATAAACCCATGTGGCTTGGGTCTGAGGTCCCAGAGGGCTGGCCAGGGAGCCCAGCAATGCCACTTTCCTGGCCCTGCCCCAGGGTGTGGCCAGAGCAAGGGTCTCAGACCGGGAGCCAGGAGAACTGGGTTTGGATTCTGGATCTGCCACCACCTTTCTTTGAGATGGTGGAGAAGACAGGCCTCTCTGGGGCTCAGTCTCCCTATATGTGAAATGGGCTTAATAAGCCTTCTCGAGAGGGGTGTGGTGGGAGGAGATGATGGGCAGCAGGTGTCTGGCACCTAGCAAGCTCTCCCCACCCGCAGGTCCCACAGCACTGCTGCTGCTCTGTTGCTAGACATGCCCAACAATGGGCCTGAAATCTTGACACTGTGGCTCCTTCCACCAGCCCCGCCACCTGTGTGAACTCTCCACAAGTGTGAACAAAATCGCTCACTTACCACCATCCTCCTCCTCATCATGGTTGTTATTTCCCCAAATCAACCTCTGTCATGGATCATCCTGTCCCCACGCCAGACCAAGGCAAATTTACACAGACCAAAGTTCTAGTGCCAGCTCTGCCACTTGCCATGATTCTGGGCGCCAGTTTCCCCACCAAACAACTAATGACTTCAACCCCTGCCTTGGGAGGCTGTTGGGGAACCTAGGGGAGCTGAGAGATTCTAAAGTAGACTGGGAGGAGGAAGGGCTGACTGACTCCATGCTCAGACTATGGGGCCAATGGATTAGAAAGGGACTTGTAGATTGTCATTTACATTCTATACAAGTTGTATCACTTTCTGAGCCTCAGTTTCCTCATCTATAAAATGGGCATAATAACATTATTAGCAGGTTAATCTCCTCTGAGGTGGGCTAGAATCCTCCTCTCGTGAGTGAGGGAGGAGGAAACCCTTGGAGCCAGAGAGGAGAAACTTCCTTCTGGATTTCAGTCTGCTCCCCATCCTGTAGTGGGCCTCCTTACTGAGGAGAGTGCATGAGCCACAATCCTTCTTTATAGACAGAGAAACTGAGGTTCCTAGGGGTGAAGGAGACATCCATATACAGCCAGTAAAAAGCAGACACTAGAATGGGCCTGGTTTCCACCCAGCCTGCACAGTTTCCTCTGCCCAGAGGTTCCCAGCCTGCAGGATCAGACCCCGAGGGCCTCAGAGTACGACATCTGGGCAGCTGGTTATGCTTACAAAGGAGTGTGTGCAGATGGAACTAATAATACAGCCCATGCTCACATGTACAACTATTTTTCAAAAGTATGCAGATGGTACAGTAATGAATAAAATACAAATCCACTTCAAAGTGTGCTGATTTCAGAGCAGATTTTGTCATTGGGTATTTTCTCAGTCAGCGGATATTAAAAGTCAAATACTGTAGTAGCACGTGAGGCTCTAACAGTTTTTGACATTAAAATGGAGTCTGTGTAGGTGAACATGCTGGGACCCTCTGCCACAGGCCATGGCTGTCCTCAGGCTCCCTCTGTGGTGCCTGGCACGCTGTCACACCCAATGTGCCACTGATTGATCACCCATGTGAGAGTTGATGGAGGCTACACATCCAGCTCCGTGGGGCCTGGAGGGTCTGGGGGGGACTGGGGGGGTGTTCTGTGATGACTTCAAGAGATCTTAGGGCACTGGACTGGGATCAGGAAACTTCCACCTGAATCCCAGTCTCACTGTCTCCCCTCTGAGAAGTCCCTTCCCCTCTCTGAGCATCACTTAACTCTGAAAACGGGCAGTTGCCCACCTCCCAGGCTTGTCAGATGCTACGATGCATAGGAAATGCACTGGAAACTGCAGAGTGCCCTACACATATAGGCTCTGGAGTCAGGAGAGAACTGGGGCACCCCCCCTACACACCCCTGAACCCACCCAGGCAGCCATTTACCCAGCACCACTGTGTGCCAGACACCTCATCTAAAGCATTTCACCAAATCCCCGCAGCTACTCTGGAAAGCAGGTTCCCCATTTTACAGAGAGAAAATTGAGGCTTAGAGCCTAAAAGAGATTTACTCGAAGTAGTCAGGTGAGCTGGTACGGAGTTAGGCTTAGGGTGGTGTCCTCCAAATCCTGTGCCCTTAACCCTGTACTCCTTGAGGCCAGAGAAAGAACACCCCAGGGGACAGCAGGCCCTGGACTGACAGCCCATCCAAGGGAGACTTTCCCTGCCCGGAGTGTGGCTTGCAGATCCCATCTGGACAGGCCTTCCCTCTCTCAGAGGCAGCTGTGGGGGAGGCAGCTGAGAAGCGTTGAACAAAAGGCCCGATAAAGCCCCCTCCTTCTCACCGCTCCACCTCATAAATTTGAGGCCTGGAATGCTCCTTATTCACCGAGCAGTGCTGCAGTGGAGAAAAGAGGTGGGGCTGGGCCTGCTGTAAATTAAAGATTATCTGTTGGGGTGGGAGGGGATGGAGGGCTCGGCTCAGTCACTGTCCCGTACTGTGGGCTGAGGTGCCAGGGTGTCTGGGAGACAAGTGGAAGGGCAGCCTGGGGTGCAGGGGGCCCTGACAAGGATCACAGAACGGAGGAAACATTTCTGGAGTTGGGCCAGGTACTGGGGCCAGAAAAGAGAAAATATGTAGAAGCCAGGTGACAGTGGGGAAGGTAAGAGTGATTGTCCTGTACACCCAGAAGTGTGGGGAGAGAGATGCTCTTAAAGGAGCCCCACCTGAGCAGGTGACCAAGCCCCCAGCAGCCTAGCCATATCCGTCCTGGGACTAGGCATCTAGCTCATTTTTATTTGATTCCCCCATTTTAAAGATGAAAAAACTTAAGGCTCAGAGAGGGATTTGGATAAGGTCAGAGGATTTGTGTAAATGATACCCTGGATAGGACTGAGGTCTGTGTAGACACAAAATCTGTGCTGGTGGGCTGGAGGTGCGTGACCAAAGGCAGACCTGGTAGTGACATGGAGGAGGAAGGAAGGGGCTGGGGTTTTCACCCAGAAATTGATGTCATTTGGCCATAGACTGGTCAGCTGCCATTTTGGTGAAGTTGTGGAAATCTACCTGTGTTCTGGACTAGAAATCCTGGAAAGCCCGTTTGAATGTCTTTTCCTGTATTCCTGTATTTCCTACATTCAAGAAGGTGGCTTAACCCTGACAGCCCAGTAAACTAGCAAAACCAGTTCACTTACTTATTAGTTGCTGGCACTGAGTATTGTTGAGAAGAGATATTCTTAGATTAATGGTAAATAATAAGTAAGCAAAGTAATACAAACATTGCCGGGGAATTCAGGAATGGGCTTACATTGGTATGGATCAGTGGGGTCCATAGGGTTAAGTCAAGGAAACTCAGTTCTCATGCAAATCAAATCCAGCCATACTTTAGGTTTGTGTGTCTTTGTGGTTATTTTCAGGCCTACATTTTCTGATGACCTCCCCAACCAGGCAGAAAGTCCAGCCAGGGCTGAGCCTAGGAGGGAGAGGATCCCATACCTTCTGCTGACAGTCCCGAGGAGCAGTAGGGCGAACCTCGAGTCAGCACCTCCTGCAGGATGATGCCAATGCTGAAGACGTCCCCTTTGAGGGTGCCCCGCCTGGGGCCTGCAGGCCCCCGCAGCAGCTCAGGAGCCGTCCACAGAAGCTCTGCAATCACAGGGCAGGGCCACCCCAATGTCACCCACTGACCACGTAGCTGAGCATGGTCAGGCTTTTCACAGCTGTGGCGTCCTGGCCCCTCCCTGCACCCTGGAAGGATGTAGGGGGCTTCTATTCTCCCCCATTCACAGGTAAAGAGCCTAAGGCTCATTCATAGAGGAAGAATGATTGGGCAATTGGGTGGATGTATGCATGGATTGACTCAAGGTCACGTAATAGAAAGTGCTCCCCGGCTTCCCCCACCTTACCAGCACCTGGTTTAAACAGAGACCTTAGAACCTCCCGGCAGCTCCCTGCCCACCCCTGAGCTGACCTTCTGGGACTGGCTGGGGTTGGGGAGCCTGCTGAGCATCCAGGAGCGCTGCATAACCATGGTCGGTGACTTTGAGCACAAAGTGGCTGTCCACGACACAGTTTCGGGACTTGAGGCGACCATGAGGGAAACATCGACAGTGCAGGTACCGCATGCCCTGGAGTGCACAAATGGGGGTCCATTAGGTCTATGCTAAATGAGAGGAGCTCTCAGAATTCCCACAGTCCCCAGGAAGCCCTCCTGCTCACCTCCCCCTGGGCCACACTGTTTAGGTACCCTCAGTGAGACAAAGCAGGAGAGCCCAGGTGTGGGAAATCTGAGCCTCTCTGGTCTCCTTGCCCTCCCCCGACAGTTCCACATCTGGGAGGGTTCTCACACGGATCAAATCCAGCAACAGGGAGGCCTTGAAGGTCCAGTCTAGCCGCAGGGCCTCATTCCGTAGCAGGTTCTCCAGGCTGCCCCGGGGACAGTGCTCCAGAACCAGAGCACTGACCCCAGGGGCCGTGAAAAAGCCCAGGCAGGCAGTGACATTCTCATGCCTCAGCTCCCGCATCTGCTAGGACAATGGGCATCTTAGCAGCCCTCAGGGGTCCTTCAAGAATGGGTGGATGTATGGATGGATAGGTGGTGTATGGGGGGTGAATGGTGGATGGTGGGGGGATGGATGGTGGATGGATGAGTGTGGATAGGTGGGTGGATGGATGGTAGGTGGATGAGTGAGTGGATGGATGGTGGGTGGTAAATAGGTGGATGGTGGATGGGTGGATGGATGGGTGTGGATGAATATGGATGGACAGGTGGTGGATGAAGGGTGGATAGGTGGATGGATGGTAGGTGGATAGATGGGTGGGTAGATGGGTGGATGGATGGTGAGTGGATGAATGCATGTAGATGGTGGATGGGGGTTGATAAATGGGTGGATAGGTAGATATTGGATAGATGGATGGAAAGATAGTGAATGAATGGATAGACGGTAGATGGAGGGTGGATGGATGGGGGGATGATGGGGATGGGTGGGTGGGTGAATGGATGGAATTATGAGTGAAAGCAGGAGGGAATGAGTGATAGAGTGAGTGAAAGCATCATGGATGAATCAGTGAATGAACTGTGCCCAACTCCACAGATTAAGTATGTATGCCTGTTTCGCAGTCTAAGTGATACCATGGACCTGAAAACAGTATGGATTCTATCTCCCAAGATGAAGGGATTGAGGAGGACTGAGGAGGAGCAGAAGGGATCAGGCATAAGTAGAAAGAAGCCTGTCTGATGGCTGCCCAGCAAGTTAGAAAGCTCGACCCCAACCAGGGACACTAGCATTTGGCAAAGCAGGAAAGACAGAAGCCTTGCCTGGCACAGCCCTTCTCATAAAAACAGTTTAGGGACAATTAAGTGGGGGACTCTATACTCTCCCCCCTCAGAGATTCACAAGCACGTTAGCATATGTGGTGATTTAGGCTTTATGGGCCACATAGTCTCTGTCACAACCCTTTGCCTCTGCCACTGAGGCACGAAAGCAGCCATAGACAATACATAAGGAATGAGCATGGCTGTGTTTCCACAAGCCTTTATTTTTTTTATTTTTTATTTTTTTTTTTTTTGAGACAGAGCCTCAAGCTGTCCCCCTGAGTAGAGTGCCATGGCATCACGCTCACAGCAACCTCCAACTCCTGGGCTCAAGCGATTCTCCTGCCTCTGCCTCCCAAGTAGCTGGGACCACAGGCGCCCGCCACAACGCCCGGCTATTTTTTGATTGCAGCCGTCATTGTTGTTTGGCGGGTCCGGGCTGGGGATTCGAACCCGCCACCTTAGGTGTACGTGGCTGGCGCCTTAGCCGGTTGAGCTATAGGCGCTGAGCCTCCACAAGCCTTTATTTACAAAAGCAGGCAGTGGGCCTGATTTAGCCTGTGGGCCATAGTTCACCAGCCTCTGACACCCACCACCTGAATGCCACCAAGTGATCCCCAACCAAATGGAGCAGAATGGAAGATTTGCCCAGCTGAGATCTTGCCAAATTTCTTACAAAGTTATAAGATATTATAAAATGGTTATTATTTTACTCCATTTGGGGGTAAGTTATTACACAGTGAAAGATAACCAAAACAGCACATGAAAGGTTCTGAGAAGTCCTATGGCTACCCAAGCAATGCAAACTTATGTGGCCACATATAGGACATTTTGTTTTAAGAAACATCTACTCACATTTCTCTCAAGATGCCCAGTGGGAATGCCTAACTTAACCTCAGTCACTTAATCTCTCTGAACTTTATTTCAGATAGTGGTGCCGTTGGGAATAATAATAAAATTCACCATTTATTGAAAGGCCAGGAACAGTTTTAGGTTATTTCACACATTCTCTGCAGCCCTCATACTTCCCTGGAGGTGGACATGACTTCTTCCATGTTATAGGAAAGTGGAAGTGCCCCATGGAGGCAGGAGTCCATCAGGGGTCTCTCTGACTCAGTCCTCCATCCCACAGTGCCTCCCCAAATGGTGCTGATCTCAGGAGTGAAGGTGCTTGTGTGGTTAGTGATGACATGTGACTAGTATCTCCCCGAGGAACCTTGTCTCTCTTCCCCGCTGTGTATCCTCAAAGCCCAGAGCACTGCCTGGCACATAAGTGATGCTCAATAAACAGTTAATAAGGGGATGGGTGGACAGAGGGAGGGAGGGTGCAGGGTGCGGCCCCTTAATGGTGTTACATATGCCATGTGATGGTACTGACGGAGAGAACTGTGTCCCTGGTGGGCTCAGACATGGTCATATTGGGGTGGTGACATGGCTTTAGGGATGCTGGTGTGTAGTAGTGACAGTGACTATGTATAGCCACAATTGAGGTGCTGTCAATGAACAGGATCATGATGACAGGAATGACTTCATTCCTGAGGCCAGAAGCTTCCACAATGAATAGGGGCCAGCCCAGACCAGTAAGGCTCCCCTGAGCAGCTCCCCTCCCCTCCCCACCCACCCCTC